CAAAGATAGTGCTGACTTATATGAAGCTGCATAGAGTTGACTAACCATCCTATGACAGTATAGTTCTCCTGCATCCATTTCTCAAATTCAGGGTCTGTCTCTTAGGGTTTCAATTTACTGCCTATGAGGTACCCTAATTTTCCTCTGCTACAGACATAAAGTCTTATAGATTGTGCCCAAGCAAGATAATTTGTCCCATCTAGCTTAATTGTGGTCACACCAATCAAAACGGAATCTACCGAGCCAAGCCCAGAAATCGGCGCCTACTTGAACTCACTTCCGTATTGCTCCATTAATCAAACGAAAATCAAAAAACCAGAAATTTTATCTTTATAAACTTACTTGAAGTCAAACCAGTACCCAGATGCTTGAAAACTAGGGTTTTACTACGTTCGGCTATTGGGGAGAAAGAGAAACGATACAGCCGCTCCTACCAAAGCTTCTCAATCTCTTCCAAACCTAAACCGCCCTCTTTTAGAAGTCAAAAGACACCTCCCAAGCACAGAGCGCCACACCCAAAGCTTCACTTTTACCTGTAACTTCGAAAATCTCTAGTCAGCTAGGGTTTTGGGCAGAAACAGTACAGCACCACTTCTTGGCAATATCCGACCAGATTTAAACTCTCCAAACCCTCTACCAACTAGGCAAAAGATCCTCTGAACTATAGAGAACCTATCTCTCCATACACCCTCTTAATCGAAGGGTGTATGGGAAAAGAGAAAGAAGAAAAGAAAGAAGAAAGAAGCCTGCTTTAATACCAAGATGTAAATCAGTCCTCTAAAACAAATGTAAACTTGGAAAAAATTAGAGAGAAAAGAGGAAGAAAAGAAGAGAACAGCAGTACAAGAGAAAGAAGATGGAGAAAAGAGGAGGAAGAAGAAAAAGAATTCAAATGTCTCTTCCCTCCCTTCTCTAGTCCTTTTTACTAAACTTCAGTCTTAACATAATTACAAGTATACCCTTAAGTGGGCGGCCAGCTAGGCAGTAACACAAAGAGAACTAGAAAAAAGATACAACAGGCCCATTAAAATTGGCCCATTAGCAACAAATAAAAAAAAAAACTACAAGAATAGATAATGGCCCATTTGGCCCAGTCTCTTTACATGGTCTTCTAACAGTGAGTGCACCAAAGTTTGTCCTTGTCGTCCACTCTCTTCTGAGAATCACCCTTCTTAAAGGAGCCTCTGATATTTGAATTTGTACCCCCTCGGACAGCTAGAGCAACCGGCTCCCCCTCTACACAATTCATCATACTTCTTCAACTCTTTTCAAACTGAAACTGAACTAAGGCATAAACCTCCTGAACTGATGATAAGCCTTTACTTCCCAAGATTTGTACCCTAATAGACTCATGTAGGGTTCAACCCCAAAAGAAAAGCAAATACTCGTTGCTGAGAAACAAGTGACTTTTAGGCCCTGCATCTTCATCGCACTACCAATTCACATTTTGTTAGTGATCTTATTCCTTCCAAATTGATGTCAGATCTGAGTAGTACACTGAGAGACTTCTCTCCCCCTACTTGCAAGTAGAGGATTCAACTTGTAGTTGGTATATCTTGGCATAGTGCCTATGCTCTGAATAAGTAGATTTCGCTTGTTCCCATATTTCACAATCTGTTTCAGCCCACATGAATGTCTTCCTTGTGGCAGCATAGAAACCAAGAGCCATGACATCACCATACTATTTTCTTGGTTCCACCTGTCATATTCAGTACTTCCAGTCTTCGGTTCCTTCACTTTATCATTACTATATCCTATTTTCCCCTAGCAGTAAATGTAAAGTTTAATTCCCCTAGACCATTCAAGGTAGTTTAGTCCATCAAAGGGGATTACAGCCATGGGAAAACTCATATCCATAACCCCTCTCATTCTGTTTTGGCTTCCTGAAACCCCAGAAGTTGCAGAATTCTCAGAAGACATGGTTAAAAAAAAAACCTATTCAGTCTCAACACACAACTTAGGATCCCTCCTTACACCAAAAAACAAATCCTAACACCACACCAAATAAGCAGTCCACATACACACTTCGGTTTAGACACAAACTGAGCACAAACAACACCAATTTCCAAACAAAAAGCAAGTTCAGATTGATTTCAGACCTGTACGGAGTAAACAGTTCCAACCTACCAATCTTCCAGAACGTCTAAGTGCATTAACCATCAGGAGAGATCCTTAAAAAATTGTAGTCACACCAAAACTGGGAAATAACAGATCATCCGTGACCTACAGTCATCCCTTTCACAGGTACAGGATCATACGATCCAAGAAAAAAAGGTCTAAACCTCAAAAATTTCTCACAACATTCAGCAGACCAGATTCACTGAGTTTCCTCTTGGTACACGACCAAGAAAAGAGAGGGAAAAAAAAAGGAAGGTTTGTACCAGTCGTAGGTCAGTGTTTTTGTTCTCAGTCTGGAGAAGACAGCAAGTTGAAGTGGGAAGACTTTGTTCGATCTGCTCTCACATCCAGTAGACCCACTCTGATACCATCTTAACAGAAGAGGAACAGCTGAAAGTAAGGGGGAGGAGGAAAGAGAGGAAGAAGGGTGAAGGTAGAAGAGAAGAAAAATGATTGGCGAGAAATAATAATCTCTGGCAGCGCCAGAATATATTAATATTTATGGGGCGACCATAAATAAAAAGGGAAAAGATCCTTGTGCCCCTGCTGTAACTAAAGTACAATAACAGCCATAACATAATTACTTTAAACAGACCAAACAGACCCTAACTAGGCGAAATAAGAAAAAAGAAATAAAGTAAACTATTTCAACAAATAGTATACTTGGTACTTTTATTCCTCCCTTTCTGCATAACCCTGCAAATGGTAGAAAACTGTCCTCAAGACCCAAAACCCCAACCTTTAACAATTTATATACACTTTACTAAACCCAGTAGTAATTTGAAGTAGTCCAACCTCCAACTCCAAGAGGTCAGATGTGTATCAGAGTTTCCAGGATAAGACAAACCTCATTCAGCCTGCAGCTGAAAAAATCTTAAGGAATAGTAGTCCTCTTAAATAACCTTTTTAATACAAGTCCCCCAAGGAAACTACACTTTGCATTGCCATAACAAGTTCAGTCATGGATGTATGTAACATCTATAACATAAACCCCATGATTTTCCACTGCAGTGAACTGTAAAGATGATAACCAGTCAAAAAGTCTCTTATGCAGCCAAACCACACCTTTCTTAGAATCTGCCATGATACCAAGGTTCAAGTATCCATATTCTCAAAACACATATTTTGTATATTGCGAATTTCAATGAACCAAAAATCTATTATTTTAATTTTTGGTTCTAATCTTTTGTCAGAGGATATGTCACATTTATTATCATTTAAAACTCTTAAAACCTACCAAATCTTAATACTTTGTGTATTGGTGACCCTGAAAAACGATATGTATCATACGATACGCGCTGATATTTTCAATATTCTGAGCCTTGCCTTATCCCAACTATATGGGGTCAGCTACATGAATGATGAATCCTGTTTTACCTCTCTGTTCTATTTAAAACCATGTCCACTGTTAAATTATTAGTGCTTAAATCATTTGTTACTACTTCTACCCATGTCCTTTTTGGTCTAACCTTAGCTCTTCTAGCCCCTTCCACTTGCAACAAATCACTTCTTCTAATTGGAGCTGTTGGTGGTCTTCTATGCACATGACCAAACCATCTTAGCCTACTCTCTCTCATTTTATCACTTATTGGAGCTACTCCTAGGTTTCTACCATTGTTTTAAAAGGCATGGGAGGCGTACGCCTCCAGGCGAGGCACTCCCAAAATGCCCTAAGGCATATGCCAGAGGCACTAACACCTCTGAGGCGTACGCCTCTTGCGCTTTTTTCATGAGACCTACATGCGCCTCATGCACATATGATATAAAAAGACAGAAAAAAAAAAGAAAAAAGAAAAAAAAAATGAAGGAAAGGAAAGGAAAAGAGAAGAAAGGGAAGAGAAAGAAAAAGAAAGAGAAGAAAAAAAGAGAAAAGGAAAGAAAAGGAAAGGGAAGGGAAGGGAAGAAAAGATAAGGGGAAAGAAAGTGATTTTCCCCCTGCCTCCACTTCAACAAGACCCCCCCTTTCAACTAATGCTATGCATCTTTATTCTTCTTAATATAAAAGATTTTTATTAAAAATAAAGAAAAAAATGAGATCCCCCTTCCTCTTCATCCTCATCCTAACCCCCCTCCTCTTAAGGAGGCTTACACCTCCTTGTGTTCGGGAGGCTTATGCCTCTTGCATTCTGAACTATGCCTCACGCCTCTAGGTAGTGGAACTCCTCACGTCACACCTCCACGTTCTAAAACATTGGTTTCTACTAACGGCTTCATTCTTTATCCTATCCTTTCTAGTTTTTCCACTCATCCATCTTAGCAATCATTCTGAAACTTTGATGATACTAGCAAAAATTTCCTATGGTCCTGCATGGCTTCCTCTAACAATAGATCCCAACCACCACATCCTTCGGGGACACCCTCACCATAACTTTTGCTATGCTAAAATCAGTGACCTCTCCAAGAGAGTTTAACTAAATAAAATCGTTTTCCCTCTGACCAATAACAATATCTTCATAATCTTCCTCAGATGATTCTGAACCCATTAACTGTGTGATTAGTTAAACTATAAAAAAAGCAATAATAATTCGCACAACATATTTTCACAATTAAGAAAGAAATTATCAAATGCCAACACCATAACGACAATCCAAGAGAAGCAGAGGTTAACCAATTCAATATCAATCCATAAAACCAAATTATCATGGTAAAACACAAATTTGAGGTATCAGGTTTCAAAGAAATCCCTTAAGAAGTAAAAGGCTTTCCTGAATGAAATCATCTCAACGTTTGAATCAAGAAGGGCCATAAAGAGATTAGATTAAAAAATAAACAGAAGTAATAATTGACATGATATATTTTCACGATTAAGACAGAAATTATCAAATGCCAAGATTATAATGATAATCCAATTCCAACAGAAGGCTTATCTATCCAAACAGTACCCGAACCAGAACCCCCAGGTCTGCCGCTGCTGTTGCTGCACTGTACCTGGAGCTTTGAAGACCCTCCAGTGAGTCTAATGCTTGTTAGTTTGTTGTCTGAGAGATAACGGCGACGTTGATAATGAACAGAAAAAGTAGGTGGAAAACAGAAACAGCTGGTTTTGAGTTTCAATTGAGGAGGAGATATAGAGGGATAAGCCGAAATCCCATTCATTCTCCCTCACTTCCTCTCTCTCTCTCTCGCAGAGGACCAAAAGATTGGGCGGGTCGGCGGGATTTCTTGGTATGATTGACGAGAAAAATGTTCTCGACTTCTTAGTTGCAGAACTTTCGGAATTCAACTTCAACCATATGGAGGTCACGTGGAAGCCAAACCATCGTCCAGAGGAATGGAAAGAACGAACATGTCCACATGCCTTGTGAGATATTTTGAATAGGAAAAATTATAGGGAGTTAGCCTGTAATTTGGAGGTAGCGATTTTTAGAAGGGTAAATTGCTAAAACGTCCCTGAAGTTTCTCTCTTTATATTTGATAATTATAGTAACCTCCCTAAATTTTCTAAAATAGTTGCAAATAGATTCATCTATAATAAGGCTGTTCATAAGAATGTCCAACCCGACCAACCCGGACTGACCCAACCCGAGTCGGCCGGGTTTTCATCAGTACCGGTCAGTTTCGGGTTGGGCAAATATATAAAATGATATATCGGGTTGGTTTCAGTTTTTACACACCCGAACTGAACTAGTCTTCCACTAGTCCGGTAGTTCCTAGTTTGAGTAGTTTCCTACTTAACTATAACTAGTCTTCTACTAGAACTAGAAGGCCCATTAGGCAATTACAATTAGAATTCAATTAGGTGTCCTTTTGTACAGGAGCAAAACCGAAACCGACCCAACCCATCTAACTCAAACCGACCAGGTCGGTTTGGCCTATCAGTGGGTCGGTTTCAGTTTCCACCTCAAGTAACCCGATCAGGTCGGGCCGGTTGGGAAAACCCCAATAAACCGACCCAACCCGACCCATCAACACCCCTAATCTATAAGCATAAATGTTTATTTACTAATTTTTCTCTTCATATGAACGTTGCCTTAAACGCTTTCCAATTTATTTTGTAAAATTTATTTATTTTCAGAAATTTTCCCTTTTCACATCAATCGCTTAAAGGTAAACCCACAACTAAAAATTCTCTTTTTTTTTTGTTGTTCATAAAGTTTGTATTGTTTTCTATAAAAATGGTTCTCAATAATTATTGTATGGGTATTTTGGACATTTTTATGCCTCTTATTAGAAGATTCTAACATAGGGGTCTACTCCCAATTATATCAAAAAGTTCAAGGGAGGTGCTTGTAATTACCAAATTTTATGGAAGGTTTTAGCAACAATCAAAAACTTTAGGGAAGGTTTCAGCTAGACCTATTCGTGGGCCAAGCCGAGTTAGGTCGGGCTTTGTCTTTTATTAATAGAATATACTCAAGCTTGAGCCCAAGCTCAACTCGACCATCAGGCCTAGGCCTCGAGCCCAAGCCCAACCTTTATATAAAGCCCGAAGCCCAAGCCTAAAGTCTGACTAGAAAATTGGAAAAAGATTTGGTTTCTTTTTTTATTCAATAAACAATTGCTTTATTTATATTAAAATACCTCAAAACCTAAAAAATAATGAAAGATCTCACTATTAATTGAAAAAAGAGAAAAGTAATAAAGAAAAAAATTATTATATATTTGTTATTATATAAAATATATTTTTATTATATTACACATTATCAAGTTGACCTCAAGCTCGGGCAGGGCTTTTATGAGAAAGCCCGAGCCCGAACTTGCGGACTTGAAGTCCTGTCCAAACCCGACTTAGATCGGGCTGGCCCATGAAGAGGTCTAGTTTCAGCAATTTACCCTACTCAAAAAGGAGTAAGGATCAATAAGGACTAGTTGAATGCAATAGTTGTTCAACATGTTGTAGAACCCATATAACTCTCCAAATATGTAATAAAATATACGAAATCCACAACATACCATTTAATTTCTCACTATGGGTCCATGTATTTTATCACTAACATGGGGCATTACCATTGGTTCCACAGCCTGTTGAACGGTTATTATGTTCAGCTAATACAAACCTCAACTTTCATTTGTGACAAGATGGTCAATTTAGAAATTAAATTCAACACTCAAGTCTAAAGTCCGATCATTGATATTATGTTGAGTATTAAATTTATCGAAATGTTCATGGAGTAGTGCATTAATCATTGCATTGTTTCTTCATTAATTCAACTACAAGAAAGAAAATAGGAAAGAAGGGTTAAGAACTAGGATTTTAGATATTCAACAAACGAGGGTACAAAAGAGTCTCATGAAATATGCAAAGGGACATTTGTAATTTTTTAATGTTTCAGAAGGCACACACGTGACATCACGTACTCCAATAACTAACAAAATGTTAATGGTTGGATTTGAGTGTTGATATATCGCAAGTGAAAGTTGATGCCCTAATGTAGACTACGAGACCATGGACCACAAGGCAAAGGACAAGGTTGGAGTGAAATCGCCACCAAGTTGTAAGATTGCACCCTTAACTTTGATCTCATCATCATGTCAAAACCTCGTGAGTGGCAAAGCGTGCAAGTTTATGTGGACTGTTAGCATGATTTAGGTTCGACCTATTCATGGGTCAGGCCAGGTTTGCCTATGTGTTAATAGAAAACATTCAAGTTCGAGCTCGAGCCCGGCCCGACCATCGGGCCTAGGTCTTGAGCCTGAGCTTGGCCCTTATATAAAGCCCGAAGCTTGGGCTCGAGACCAAGCCCAGCCAGAAATTTAAAAATAGATTTTTTCTTTTTTATTCAATAACATTTATTTATATTAAAAGTCCTCAAAACTCAAAAATAATAAAAGATCAATTATTACTTGAAAAAAGAGAAGAGGAACAAAGAAAAAAGTATTATATGTAATTAAATAAAATATATTTTTTATTATATAATATATATATATATATTATAAAGTCGAGCTCAGGCCAGGCTTTTGTGAGAAAGCCCGAGCCTGAGACCACGGGCCTAAAATAATGTCCAAGCCTGACTTAGAACAGGTCGGTCCGGGCCAGCCCGTTGGGCTACCCGACCCATGAACAAGTCTAATTTCGATTGAGTAGTCACCTACCTCACACATTCAAATTGGTATTCAAACACCTTTCCCTTGCTAATTTCCTTTATTAGCTACTACTTGTCTATTCACTTTAATCACATTTTTGCTTATCTATTTTGGTGCAATGTTTTGGGCACCAAAATTATAAACATTTTCTCTTAGCCTTATATAAGCTAAGCTAAGCCTTGTAATAGACAACTTTTTGGTTAAATTGAACCAAGCTATTACCTTTTTCCCTTAGGCATCTTCTTCCTATTCTCTCTTGTTGAACTTATTTTTGAGCCACAAAGACCCCCAAAATTCCTACAATCATCTACTTGAGTAAAGGTTAAGATCACTGCCTCTATGAGTTACAAAACCGAGAGGTTATTATTATTTTGCTGCTTCAATCATCAACTGTTGCAACTTTTCTTGTTGTCACTGGTTATTCTTTGTGAGTCTTCCTCTATTAGAAAATATTAGCCACACCATGCCTTTAAGTAGGGGTAGCTTTGAGTCAAGTCAAGCCAAATATCTGGTTATCTGAGCTTTCCTCAACATAAAAACATCAGGCTTAAGTTCGGGCTTGAGTTCAATTCGAGCTAGAGACATGAGCTCAATTTTGGCTCGACTTAAAAGCTTATATGTTCGAGGTCAGCTCAACTCAAGCTTGATAGTGAGCCAAGTTTCATATAAAAAATAAAAAGGTATACATATAAAAAATTAAAAGTCATACATATAAAAAATTATTTGTTATTATATATAAAAATTAAAAATATTATATATAACATAAGGTCACTTAGGCCCATAAGTCTTACGAGCTAAGCTTTATTAGGCTTGAGCTCGGCTACATTAGTAAACGAGCCTACATACTAAGCTCAAGTTCAGCTTGAAGATTGGTTTAAACCAATCCAAATCAAGCTTTTAAGTGGCATTGGATATAGGGGTTGTTTCATTTATGTTGGACCCCATTGAGCAAGGGAATGCCTTGTGTGGAGTGGTTGGCACCTACAATTAAGCAGTTCAATCCACGCTATATCGTGGATGTGGATTGAATAGGGTGTATCGTATCGGTATCGGGTCATACCAGCACAGGATACACTACGACTGGAAATGTATCCTTCCAATCATGCATATTAGTCCGATCGATACGCCACCGTATTGGTGTGTATCGTGCAGTATCAGCCGATACAGTTCAACGCATCAATACAGAAGCGTATCAAACCTCCGTTTGACAACTTCAATATAAAAAATGCGGCTAGCACAACTTGAACCCAAGACCACAACTCACCTAACGCCGAATAATAATCCATCTTTAGCCACTGAGACAACATATCTTTCATGGTAATAAATGGAATATATTAGCTTTTATTACTCAATATTACATAAAATCCCAACAACCAACATACACTTATCTTCAACAACTCCAATTATAAATTAAAAAGAATAATATTTAAAATTAATATTTTATAAACCAATAGAATAAATAATCTACCAAATCCACATTTATATCAAAAAGTTTATTTTTAATTTAAAGAAATTTTAAAATATTAATAATAGAATAATTATTTTAATACTTAAAATTTACTAATTTTCACATGATATATATCTCAAAATTTTTATAAATTATTAATTAATATTTTAATTTGCATTAAATAACCATGTATTTATCATTTACAAAAATAAAAATATCATTTATAAAATATTTAAAAATGTAATATAAATTTAATCTATCAAATCCACTAATATATATTTATATTAAAAAATAATTTTTGTATTTTAGAATTTTATAAAAATAAAAATATTAATAATGAAATAATTATTGTAGTAATTCAAATTTGTGAAATTTCATATAATATATATCTTTAAAATTTAAATAGATTTGATATATTTTAAATTAGGATTATATATTTTTATAAATTATCAGTTAATTTTGATTTGTATTTTATAATAACATATTTATTTTTTACAAAAATGAAAATAGTTTACCAAAATTTTGAGAATTAATTTTTAGTTAACATTTTTGTTAATGTTAAAAATTATAAGTAGTAAAATAGAAAAAAAAATTGATATAATAATTGAAATATAATAGTTGTGTATGTTTTGTGCCTTGGATTTAATATAAAATAAGATAATAATGGCTTTGTGCATTCATTAATTTGTAAAAATCTATATAATATGTTTCTTGGAATCTTGATTAATGCATATCAATAAAATTGTATAATAACACATTCTTCTATATTAATTGTAATATATTTCTTCATATATACYGTCAAAATATAC